CCCCGGTCCCGCCAGCAGCGCAGGGACGGGGATGGGGGCTGTGCTCAGTCCCTCACCCGCTGTCGCTGCCGCTCCTCCCTCCTCAGGGGAGGACTCCTCACCCTCTGCCCACGGGGTCACCGCCTCCTCGGGGCACATCCCCCTGCTCCGCCGTGGGGTCCCCCCGGGCTGCAGGGGGGTCTCTGCTCCCCCGGGGCCTCCCTGGGCGCAGGGCACAGCTGCCTCCCCAGGGGCTGCCCCAGGGGCTGCGGGGGAACCTCTGCTCCGGGCCTGGAGCCCCTCCTGCCCCTCTGCCCCGCTGCCCCGGGCTCCGCACAGCTGCTGCTCTCTCAGGCTCTCGCTCCTCTCTCCAGCTGCAGGGGCTGCTGTGCAGCAGCTTTTCCCCCTCTCGGACACGTTCTCCCAGAGGCGCTACCGCCGTGGCTGATGGGCTCGGCCTTGGCCAGCGGCGGGTCCCTCTCGGAGCCGCCTGGCCTTGGCGCCACCGACACGGGGGAGCTTCTAGAACCTTCTCTCTGGTAGCCCCCTGCTACCAAAACCGTGCCATGCAAACCCAAAACACAACTGTATGCATATCTATCTATCTATCTATCTATCTATCTATCTATCTATCTATCTATCTATCTATCTATCTATCTTATCTATCTTATCTATCTTATCTATCTATCTATCTTATCTATCTATCTATCTATCTATCACATTTTGACAGTATACTTGAATGCCGTATTTTCAGCAGAAATGTAGGTTTCTAAATTGTCTGTTTTTCAAAACTAGTTTTATTCAGTCCTGTCATTAAGAGGATTAGCAGTGGATTAGATAATGTAAATGCAGTGTTATGATCTTTAGAAAACTTGCATGTGACTCTTTCAAGACTGCCTGTATATTCCCAGCCATTACAGCTAATGTATGATATCCTTGCTTCTCTGAACAAGATTCCATACAAACTAAATTAAAAGGGTGCTTGTGACCAATCCTTCAAATACATGAAAACAACTCCTCATTATTTAATTTAATGAGAATCCATTAGTGAAGACTATTAATTATCTAGGCCTGTATTATAGAGGGTCTTGAATAAATCCAGATAATCAGATTTGGAAAAGGGAGATATTTTTCAGAGTAAAACACATATCTTGAACATATTTAAGCAATTGCATGAATTTAATCTTGACTAGTCTCAGTGAAGTCAATTTTAAAAATGTAAATTTCATTTTTTTTCCCTGCATTTTTCTCTGTATTTGCCAGTTTACAGCTAGCCATGCTGACACATTTGGGAGCTGAGATATACTGCAACTAAATTTGATGTGAAGTGTTGGTGGCCTTCATAATGTAATTTATTCATGTTTCTGTAGATAGCATATGTTGCCTGTGCAATAATTTTTTATCATATCAGGACAGAACAGCTACTGTTCCAAATTGTGTTATACAAACCTAGATATACAGACAAATTTTTATTGTGCTTTTTTGTGGTGTAAATCAGTGGACTCTATTGAGCTCTGCTGGGGTGGGTGAGATTAGAATCTGTCTCTTGGTGTCTAATTTATTTTGATTTTTTTCTGACTTAATGTTAGCTCTGTTCTTGCTCCATGGGGAGCAGCAGTCAGTTATCTTTGTAGTCCTGCCCAAAGAATGAACATATGTGAACCCCCTTGTCTTGGGCAGGAGGCTGCTACTCCCAGGGAATTCTGTTTACTGACCATTGGAATGCTGAGATGAAGGCAGTGTATTGAGAAAGCAGTGGATGAGCACTACTGGTGCTTCATTAAAAATCATGACGTCTTCATCAGCCGTTATCTGAGGTTTCCCTGGATTTGCCCATTTCATGACCCCACCATGTTTAAGACATGTTGTTTTTACGGCATTCCTCTGGGCCTGGAGAGCTGCCCTGCAATTCAGATGAGTGTTGTCTGTGCAGGGCTGGGCATGCTGGCTCCTTTCCAGTACTTAAATCTGAATATCTGAAGAATTTCCTTCCTTATTTTGCATGTTTTTTGGTGTGAACAGTGTTGGAGCCAGTGTCGCTAATTCCTTCTCTTCCCTTTAACAGAAAGTCAGTGACTCCATTTTCTGACCGTCATAGATGGTAACTGCAATGCTGAAGACACTGGGCGAGTCGCTCCTCCTCAGCTCTTCTGTGTGAGGTGAGCAACAATCCAGATGGGCAAACCCCCCTTAATTCCAGGATGCTTGAGAGCCTTTCTTCCCTGCCCCTGGACTTCCCTACTGCATCACATTTCTGAAGGATGCTCAAGATTTCTGGGATTTGCTTGTGCTTCCTGTAAGGCCACTTGTGGTGGTCTGTGTTATGTTAGGACTCAGTGGTTTGCATTCTGAATTAAATGTGAATTCTGAATGCAATTAACCCGGAAGACATGAGCAAAGCAATAAATCCTTGCTTGCATTACTGTATTTGGTCAGCTTGATGGTTTTCCAGGTCTTGAAATGCAGGAATGAACTAATCCAGATAACAGATATAACATTGTATCTTCCACTCTAGTTAGTCAATATCTGATTAAATATAATTGCATGAATTTATCATGATAGAAACTGTTTCAAAGTAATTCAAATACAGTTTGAAATTAAAAATTTTACTGTATATTCAATATGTACTATTTTCAGGTTTATCTTCAGTTTCTTATCAAGAATGATGCTGTGTATTATGTATTATGACAATGTTGCTTTTCATAAGGTTAAGAATGTAATGAAAATTTCTGACTAAACTTCTAATAACTGATAATTTTAATGAAAATCACCCAAATTATGCCAATGAAGACAAATCTTGAATACAGGTGTTATCGCTCTTCTTAGGCTAATACGGATGTGACATTTTCTACCTAAAAAAGTAGGATTAATCACTAATAATTGGAACTGTGAGAATTTAAACATGGTATAAATACAAAAGTTATTACATAAGAAAAAATGGAATATGTAAATTTACATCAGAAACTAGGTCTTGTTTTATGTGGCGTGTACCACAAACATTTTTTGAGACTTCAGAACTGTTCCCATTTGAACGTGGATGAATCCAAAATATGAAACTCATGTAAAATCTGCCTAAATAAGTGGCTGACTGGTCATCTTCTGGGATTAGAGAAATAGAGATTTGAATTACTGGGCTAAATCAGAATTTTTAAGTTTTTAATTTGCTGTATGCCTGCCTTAATCTCTCTTGTTTTGGAGCCTTTCCATGGTACCTAAACAGTGTGGATGTTCACTGAAGCATTTAGAAGTTGGGCTCCTGCTTTGTATGGGAGACTCGGAGAGACATTCCTCCTTGCTTCCAACACTGCACAGTGATTATTTTAATGAGTTGTACAGTGTAAAACTACTCCAGCAACAGGACTTGATCTATTCCTGTCTCGGTCACAATGTGGCTCTGGTATTTGTCTGAAGCGCTGGAGACCTTAATTAAAATCCCTTAGTCAGAGAGACCTCTCCAATGTAACTGCTTGCTGATCTTGAGCTCAAAGATCAGGGACTTAAATGCAAGTTCCAGATTCCAGAGAAATGCCTGAGAAATGTCTAGTTTTCCCTTTCAGGCTGGCTCATCATGTACTGATAAGCAACCCCTGCTTCCCTGCTTTTCCTGCTCCATTTCTCATGTTGATTTTGTGTATCCAGTGCTCACACGTGGTATAGAGCTAAAACAATTCCAGATCTGGTAATTTAGTTGTCAGGGATCTTAAATGTAGGAGATATGGTCTGTATTCATGCCTGCATTTTGCACCTGGAATCCATTCTCAGCATTGGCTTAGTCTGCCTACAGCATAATAATATTCATGCTAAAGATAAATTAAATAGAAAAAAGAAACAACACATCACAGACTGTTATCAGATCCCTTGCTATTTATTTGCTCTGGTTGGTTTCTTCTTAAGAACCTGCTAAAAGCATTTACGATGGCTGGTTTTGTAGGATGGGACTGCAGGTCCTCTGAGAGCTGGCTCTCTTGTCTGCCCCCCCACCACAGCATTTTTCCTCTCTCTTTCTCTTCAAGTGAAGCCTCTAACAGACTTGTCCCCAACAAATCCATCACACAGGCACTATGAAGTGCACAGTGACCACCAGGTTACCGTTTGGCTGAGCCTGTTGCCTTGGTGTTTTAGGTCTTTTAGCAAGCTTTTTCTTTTTTTATTAATTCTAGGGCCAAAGACGACAAGAGACTGAATTATCTGAATTATGCTTCTACAACAGAACTGGGTTTCTCCTCACTGGGCATGGCAGAGCCTGGGGAAGTCCTTCCTTTTGTTTATTTTCTTAATGTTACGAACAGCTGATTTGGAAGCCAGGAGAGGTCATCAATTTGTCTGGAAAACAGGTAGGAAAAAGATATGTTGGCTTATCTACTAGATTAATTCCTATATTCAAGGTTGGAGTGACTGCCCATTCTCCATTCTGTTTTAGTTCAATAATAAATTAAAAAAAGCCTGAGAATGTCTTCTATTTTTTTTTTTTTTTTTTGTAATTGAAAAACAGGGGGTTTAATCTCTGTTTTAAATTAGTAATCATCATGTCTATTGCACTTATGCACCAGAGTGACTCTAGAGTATAATTCTGGGCTCCTTAATGCTTTTAATGCAAAAGTAAAATTTTTACTGGATCCCAGTATCATAATCTTAATGTTGCTTCCTTTGAAATATTTGCTGTTTTTCTTGTTTGATTGGAAGTGTTTGAATGTTCAAAACTGGGCATGCATAGCATTTGGAAGCTGCTGTGAAGACACATGGATAGCGCTGTGTTTCTGAGTGACGGGTAGGTAGGACATGCTATAATACAGATGCATTGAACTGAGCATGACACATTGGATGATTATTTTGTAGCACAACACAACACCACAGAATGTTCAATGAAATGGAAGGATTGGCAAATTTGGGAAACATTTACTCAGAGTACTTCATCAAAAACATGCAACTGAAGCAGAGGTTTCAGTGCCCAGAATCCTTTTGAGGTTTGGCCTTTTATGACTGAGCAACAGAGCGATTAAATTTGATGGAAAAATAATTTTCCTTCTTTTTTTTTTTTTAGTTTCTTTGCTGTTTTGGTTATTTGTTTTTTAATTACAGTCCTGTAGAAGGTAGGAGACTGAATTAGCTGAATAATGAAACAATTATTCTGGGAAGGCTCCTGTCCTTCTGGTAAGATCAACGCAAGCTTCTTACCCCACCTGCTGGGATGGAGGCTGAGTGCTGGTGAAGTGCTGGTTAAGTACAATCTGATACTTTATTTCTAAAGGCTTTTTTACAATGTCTTGCATGTAAAATGAAGAGGAAATAAACAGCAACATAAACTGTCTTTCTCCAATCCACTGATATTTACATGATTTTTGAACAAGCTTTGAAAGGTAGAGTAGTTTTCTTAAGACAAATTAGACCCTTCAGTGCTGTCTGCCTTCTCTTCAGTTCGGAAGTGTATTGTACCATCAGTCTTGAGGGGTGTGCACTGGAAGTCATAAAAATTTAATTTGACTTGATGATTCCAGCTGACAACAGTTATTGATGCTTCAGAGGCATCTGGGGTAGATGAATTTAGAACTAAGAAAAAGCACACAGGTTTGCATGGACATGGGGTTCCATGCTTTGAAAGCCCCATGATGAGCTGCTTGTAGAGCTCTGTCTTCTACCTGCAGAAGAAAATTGTCAGTTCTTGTGACTCCCACAGTGGATTAGAAATATCTGAGCTCTCACGAGTCATTTTAAAAACCTTGAATCCTAACAGTATTTTGATGCGTTTTATCTGCTTATGTAGGGACAAGAGGTAGAAAACAACTTTGAGTGAAATGTTTTCCAGATGAAAATAACTTGTGAGCTTCAGTCAAATTAATTGTCCCGTTTGGCAAAACCAAAGATATTTCCCCCCCCACCCCCTCCATTTAAATATTTTAAAATTTGTAAACAAAATTTTCATTTTTTAATTGGAGTATTTTGTTGAAAATTAGATTAAAAGTTATCTAAACCATAAATGTTCTAGGTTGAAATTAATAGTATGTTCACCCAAAAAACTTTGTTTTGCTAAGAAACAAAGTATTATTCGTGAAGCCTCTACTTTCTCTGCAGTAGAAGTGAAGCAGCAGCATTTCTAAATCCTGAATCTTGGTCTTTTTGTAATCGTCCTAAGAAATAACACAATGGGCTGAGATTTCTCTCAGTAGGTTGAATGGATACTTAGTTGGGAAAAATCTTGGTTAAAAGGAGCTAGGTGTATTTTACAGTGTCAGGGCATATGTAATAAACCAATGGTTTTCTTTTGATAGTTTTGGTGCATGTGTTGCAGATTTAATTTCTGAGGCATTTGGAAGCATGAATATGAAAGTAAAATTGCAGTGGCCTTGAAATTAGTTACAAAGGAGTGTAAATGGCATTCTGTTGTCAGGGTTGCATATGTGGCTTGCTGTTGTATGCATATTTCTACTTTGCTTATAATGATTTTTCAGGTATGGTTAATCACAAAGGTGTACCTTTCTTTCAAAAGATTACAGGGAAGTATGTTTTGGGAAGAGAGGGATGATAACTGGAATGGAGCAGATGGATTTGGAGAGGTAGATGGGTTAACATAACCTGTTGCAAGCAGGACATTAATAATAAAATAACTTGGGTCAAGATGTCCATGATCAACATCCCAAATGAGCTCTGTGGTTTGTAATAATCAAAAAATAAAGAAATCATCCCATAGTTTGAGAACTTCTGTCCCAGTATAAAAAACCCCCAAAATTTAAATAAAAGCACATCAGAGTGAACCTAAAATGAAGTCACCTTTAATGTCAGAACTGAGCAGATCCATTCTGATAGTAAGAAAACCTGCAGCTGTTACCATTTTTTAAAATGCAGCAATCTAATGAGAACTGAGCAATTCCTAATGTAAAAGGAGATGATTTGTTTTGTTTTTAAATCTTGAATTGCCTGTTGCAAGCATGGCAAGTTACTTACCTGCTGCAGAGAAATTCAACTTTTAATTGAAATGTCATGCTTTATAATTAAGTAAGATTATGCTATGTGCTAAAATAAATTGTATTAGCACAACGAAGTCCAGAGATACATCCTTAATATGGATGGGGGGAACGTTGGCACTGGAGTTTGTAGAGCAGGCTTTTTTTCAGCTAAATCCTTGGCTTTTATCTAATGAAGGCTCATACATTTTCATGCTGGGCTTGGTGGTCTTGGTATAGGGGAAAGCACTTGTATTGAAATCACTGCACCTTTTGAAAAACCCAGGCTCTATGCTTCTAAAATGTAAGAACTTGGCACTGTGAGATAGGTTATGCATACTCTTCCCTCAGCTATTCAGAGGGCTATCGCTTGCATTTTGCTTATTTGCGGCCCATCTTAAAACCATTTATTTCTAGCTTTTGATTTCTAGAGATAATATATTAATGTCTAAATATCTGTACACTGTATCTTTTGGTTTCAAGACATTTCTTATCATATACTTATTTTGTTACCACCAGCCTAAACACGAAAGCAATAATTATATAAATTAACTTAGTCAGCAACCTCAAATAGCTGAATAATTTTCCAGCACTTGCTAACTAACAAAGCAGTCTTAGTGATAATATCTTGAGAAAATTTAATTGGATCTAAATCATTGTAAATTAATATTCTTTAATGCAATAGCCAATTAGCAATTCGCATATTCACCATGTTGATTTTCTTCAACTCCTGAATGGTCCTGAAAGTGCCTGGAATTTCTGTAATGCAAATATACCTAAGTTTTAGTGATGGTCATTCAAGCTTTTAAAACTGTGTATAGAATATTGGTGCACACGTGAATCCTTAGCATGACTCTAGTTGGTTTATTTTTTGGTGAAACTCTAAAATTCCCCAGAGACACCTGCAGTTGTTGCATGGGCAGGTTGCAGCATCGCTCCAACTCCTCCATAAAGCACACCTCAATAATTGTGCACATGCTGTTTCACCTAAAATACTAACAGAAATTAAGGGGACAAGAGAGAGTCCCTATAAAAGGTGTCTCAGGGCTAAAGCAGTGATGTAGCTTTGTCTTAATGAGGGGTGTATTAATTTTTATTTTTTTTTTTTATGAAGATGTTCTGATTTTTAGGAAAATTGTTCTCTAATTTTGGTAAAATGCTACTTAGCATGGAAATAATACTCTGTATACTACAGAAGGGAGGAAGAGAGGACTATTAGAAACCCAGATGTAGTGTCCCAGTGAGTTCTCCATCTGTAGTTCTCTACAAGAAGTGAATCAGGATGGGGATTTAGCCCAGCAGGGACATGCTACCTGTTAGGAGCAGAAGAGCACTGCAAGTGAGATATCAGACTGGGAAATGGATTTGTAATACAGCTGATAACAGCAGAAAGATTTTTACCTGTGGAAGAAAGCATTAGTCTTTTGGCGTTTGTGGGCTCCTGGGAGCTAGGTGTGGTGAGCCATAAGTTCTCTTGCTCCAGATGAACACAGAAAAGCTTCAGAGTTATTACCCGTATTTGAGAGCCCTCCTTAAAATAGGGTTAGCAAATGGGCTTTGATCATTAGCCTTTCTTCAGAAACAATCCATAATGGAAAGAGTACGAAATGAACTTTTCAGAGAACAGCTTCTAACATGGAGGAACCTTTGAACTACTCGTGAATGTGGGTGAGCCAGTTACAGATAAGATGAAAAAGATCTTTTGTCCTCTGTTCTTAGATAATACTACCATAAAATGCCCTTTCTTAAGATCGTAATTTCATGAAGGCCAAGTGCAGGTTTGGAAATGCCTTTGACCTTATGTCTTAAAAGACAAACTTCTACCTACATATACCAAATGTTAAAAGGAGTCCAGATCTTCAAAGGACAATAGACCTGAAACCTACTGGAAATTAATTTAAAGGTAGCTCTGAAACAAGTGATATTTCTCCAAGAGCTCTACAAGATGAGGAATAATAACTAGGGTAAATTAAGTGGGTTTTTTTATTTGATAGGACAGCAATTAATGAATGAAATGCAAATATCTCTTTAGTGATCTTTGTATTGTCTGGAAGTTTTACGATACTTCTGACTGTCTGATGCTTACAAACATAATTTTGTGGCAGATGTTCTTCTAATTGTAGGTTATTGTTGTGCTGTCTTAGTGGATGGAATTTTAAATATTTAAACTCTGAAGTGGAAATTTAGCATTGATTTAATCAAGCTTTGAATGATTCTAAGGTTCTTCCCTATACTAAGAGTTTAGGACTGCAGTGATTCTCTTGGTTTGTAGGTTGCAATCTTGTCATGTTGATGGTAGCAACAGTTAATAATTTAAAAAAACCCCTATTAAGTTCCATTCTAAAGAAAGTCAGATAAACTTGATGATTGAGAAGTTCTTCTAAAATGATGAGCCT